TTCATGTTATTTAAACCGGAATGGCTGTATTTTTAAAAACTGTTATATAAAAGAATGAGAATACGATTGTGTTCTGTTAAATTGTTTGTTTTCGTTTAGACTTTTTTTCAATTTTTTACCTTGATTTGTACATTCTTTAAGGGATGCATGGACAAAAAACAAAAATACCTGTAAAATGGCTGAAAGAGTTAATATTGAAGTTTTAAGGGTGAGGGATAACTTTGAGAAAGTAAGATTTATTCAGCCAATATGTTTGCATCCAGAAAATCCAGAAAACATTGTCTTTCGTTACCATTTTGATTTTGGAAATGGATTACGTCCAAGTAACAGCTGTACACATTAAAAAATCTGTTTTATTCTGATAGGTTTCATTTTCTTCATAGTATTTATCAGTCCAAAACTGCGAAAATATATAAAAATGATATTGTCTTATTTTGCTATTCAGTATTCGACTAGAAGAAATTAATACGTGAAGAATAAACACATCAATTTGAGAATAACATTTAAATACACTATAATGAGTATAATACATCAAATAGATCGACCGATATTCATTGGAACTTTAATGAATCAATATTTTTCAGAATATTTGTTGAAAACACTTTATGTTCTAAAAATATCGAATAAGGAAGGATTACATGTCAACCTGGATATCTGACTGAACGACCATTAAAACTTGATTTTTCTTCTACATTTGATATTTTCAAAACAAAGTATTTTTCAAGAATAATTTCAAGAATGTTCTCAAGTTGTTGAAGTTCATTCATTCCTTCATGTTGTTCAAACCGGAATGGCTGTATTCTTAAAAACTGTTATGAAAAAGAATACGATTACAATTGTATTCTGTTAAATTCTTTGTTTTCATTTAGACTTTCTTTTAATTTTTTACTTCGATTTGTAGATTCTTTAAGGGATGCATGGATAAAAAACAACTGTAATACCTGTAGAATGGCCAAATGAGTTACTCGTAATATTGAAGTTTAAAGGCTGAGGGATAACTTTGAGAAATTAAGAATTATTTAGCCAATATATTTGCATCAGCTATCGAGAAAACAGTGTTTTTCGTTACTATTTTGATTTTGCAAACGTTCAAGTAACAGCCTTACACATTAAAAAATTTGTTTTATTCTGATAGGTTTCATTTTCTTCATTGCATTTATCAGTCCACAACTGTGAAAATATATAAAAATGATATTGTTTTATTTTGCTATTCAGTATTCGAATAGAAGAAATTAATAAGTGAAGAATAAACACATCAATTTGAAAATCACATTTAATTACACTCCACTATAATGACTATAATACATCAAATAGATCGACCGATATTTATTGAAGAATTAAAGACGGCTTACACTTTTACTTTCCAATAATCGCTTAATGAACCCATTATTCATCAAAAATAGATTTATTCGATTGAAATTGGACTTTTATGTTGGAAATAATGATGTACCTACTCATAATTGGCCGTTGTAAACCTAATTAAGGAAATAGTTGCTTTTTACAATTAATTAAACCTAGCTGAGTTTATAATACATTAAAGATTATGAAAATTGATGGAAATATTGAAGGACAGTGATTGCTCTAATTTAAAAAATATGGAATAAAATTTGATACATCCTTCTCTCCCGTTGACCAACAACCTTGATCTTGTGTGACAAATGATTTCTGTGACAAATATATTGGACTAATGTTTTATTTCGCAGAAAATTCACATTGTTGATGTTATGAAAGCAGTCAGTCTGAATATCAGTATATGCTACCAAAAATATAGGACTGTAAAAGACGCATCCACCATTTCATCAAGGATAGGTATTACATTGTTTTTCATGGATATAAATTGAATCAGGCAGAAAAAAACAAATATTTATAGAGAATTATACATTGAATCACTTCCTTCCGACTTTGGGATCACTCTAACCGACTGATAAATGAATCGACACTCGGCATGCATATTAAAAAAAACTTTTTTGTGGTGTAGAATTTTTATTGAAATAATGAATTGATTCATATTATAATCAATTCTGTACTAATTATCCTATACAAATATAAAATATGGCCGAAATTAATGCACAAATAATGGATATATTTTAATTTATACAATTCGATGTGTTAAACCTTCAACATAGTTATTGATTAGATTATCATGATTGATAGATACTTGATTCATTATTTTCTCACCTACATTATGAATTGATGTATTATTTCATTTGAACCTACTGAAGTTTTATTATTCTTTATGAGATGATATTGTTTGGCCAGTGGAATGTTATTTTATGTTGCCTGTATCCTCCTGTTTATTCTAGTACAACTTAAGCAGATGTAATAAATTGATAATTCCTAAGAAAATGCCGAAAATCATTTGAAATTATGTCAGAATTGAGTAAGTTATCATTTGAATATCACTCAGCTGATGAACTAGTCACTGAAAGTAGAAAAACTGGAAACTGGGCTATAATGAAATTGTTTTGCTCTCAAATTTAGTCCTATGGTATGTCTTCTCGTTAACTGACCATTGAAAGTACCGAATAGCGCTAGTTTTAGAGAAACAAGCTACTTCCTAGATTCAATACACTACATGAAATACAAGTGGAAATTATCTTTGAATATAATATAAAATTCAAACTCTTGGACTTTTGATTTCCACTTTTATTGACAACATAGCATGACGGGTTTCGTCGTTATAAACGACTTTTTCAGATGCTAATAGAATACTCCAGTATTATATTGTATGTATTGGACATACATTGTCCAATGCATACGTTAATACGATTAAATGTGCTTTTCCAAGAAATTTCAATAATATATTCATCAATTTTTACACGTACGATGTTATATCATCAGTATTATTTCATTATAAATAATACGTTACGATAAATTACGTTAAATATTACGATAAATTTATTAAATCTCTATAAAATGAACATAGTTTTGTCATATCTTTTCTTTCTAAATGTTCACGGTAATATAAAGCATTTTCGAAATTTCCATTCCAGTTACTAAAATTAAAGTATGAAATTATATGAAATTATGTGAAATTATATTGCTACAGTTGTGCTCATGGTTTTCCGTTATTCAGTGTTTATGTTGGACAGTTATTTGAGTTCGTTACCCTCATCAGATTTTTCTTAGAAGGTTTTTTGAAGTCAAAGGCAATGTCAACAGCCGCACAAACCTTCGTACATCACAGAAGGAAATCCAATACTGAATCAACGTTATTCAGCCCCAGTTATGGAGAGTGGTTATTGAGATTTCCAACGAAAGAGTACGTATATGTCAGCAAACACGTAGAGACCACTTCAAAATGTGTTTTCCATGAAAAATGGTATCGAACCTAAGTTATAACTGAAGTAGCTGACCGTGCGAACTTAACTGCATTTAATTGATGGTTTTAATTATAATAATGGAATGAATACAACCTTATAATGTAACATTGGCATAAATGATACCTAACAAATTCAATATTGTTTTCAATATTTAAATATAATCTGAAGAAGAGAAGATTGCCGCTCTACCCTGTCACGATTGACCACGATGAATCATCACTCCAATAATTCCATCTTTACTCACAACAGTCTTTCAATTACTACGACGGGCGAATTCTTCGCAAATACATACTTTTTTTACTTTATCGCTCTTTAACAGAGCTTCGCCTTGTATATATATATATATATATATATATATATATATATATATATATATATATATATATATATATATATATATATATATATATATATGGAAATGAAATTTTTTTGTGCTTATGGAACTGAATGAAAAATTTAAGAAAATGAACACTTGAAAAATTCAAATTAACCAAGAGAATGTTATAGTAGAGCTAGATATGTGAAAGTGTACGATGTGATGTCTCCATTATCTAATTTCCATTTTTATTATTTCTCTAACATTTATCCCTTGAAGGATAATGAAGACATCACATCGTACTCGTTCACATATCTAGCTCTACTATAACATTCTCTTGGTTAATTTGAATTTTTCAAATGAATGTTCTAGTGTTCATGTTCTTATACATATATATATATATATATATATATATATATATATATATATATATATATATATATATATATATATATATATCTAGTAGTATTTGGGTCTATATTATCTAATATGTAGTCTGGTAATATAAGATTCTATATCATTATTATGAACTTTAGCCCAGTTTCAGACCGAACAGTAATAAAATTGTCTCGGATATTTAAAGTTTAAAATTATCTTGTAATATAAAATAATATAATATATTAATGCATAAAATACAGTTTGTATTTTATGCAACCAAAATACAAACTGTAAAAAACGACGAATTAATCTAAAACTTTTACTTTATCTAAAAAATTTACTCGATTATAAAGCAATTGAAAATTCGTCTAATAGAAGTATCACACAATATATTACGACATGGTCGCGATTATGTCGTATTATCTCTTCAACAATTTATCCAAATTATATATAGTTGAAACAATATTTAGAATTTTCTCATATATCAACAACATGCATAACGCGCGTTTCGAAGTACTAATTATTTTTCAAATGTAGTGTTGTTAATATATGAGAAAATTCTAAATATTGCTTCATTATGGATATTAATTTTATCCAAGTATCGGCCTCATCAATCATCAATTTATATACAGTTGTTAACATTTCTTTCAAAAAATTAGTTATAATGACATATTTAATAGTGTAGGCGTTTACTTGATGTAAATCCATTATAATTGAACATAAACTTAAATTCAAACACTTGAACTTATGATTTACACTTTATTCACTACATAGCATTATTCTGTAAGCATATGAAGAAGTCGTTTGTAACGACGAAAAGCGTCATGCTATGTAGTCAATAAAGTGTAAATCCTAAGTTCTTAATTCAGAGGACCTACATTTAAACGCCCTTTTCGAACGCCCAATGGGCTTGTAATTAATATGCATTACCCAACAATTATCATCATTAAACTAATAAAATCAGAGACAAACACATACACACATGTCTTCATCGGGACTCGAACCCAAATCCAACCGCATCATAGTCGGGTATTCTCCTGACTAAGCCACGGAGACCGACATTTAATACTGTATTACATATTTTTGTTCTACTATTCATAATTTCCGGAACGCTTGCGATGAAAGACATTGAAGTTTTATTAGGGATCCGTATTCTTTTTTAGTAAAATATATAGCCTTTATTATTAAAAATGACGTGATTTTTTATTGGTAAACGAACTTTCAGAATAAGTTAAGTAGATCCAGAAATTACCCCGTACAACGTCACAAAATTCATCTCTTCAATTATAAACATTACTAAGTAAAAACCAATCCAAAGTTTCTGGTTTTTAGTGGAAGTGTTAGCATCACTAACTAACTGTTCCATTAGTTTAAGACATTTTGAGAGAATTGTTTGAAAACAGATTCGCTTTTAAATCCATGAAATGAAAATAGTTTATAATATTCGGCGAAGTAAAATTGAAAATAATTCTTCAGTCCCATACATTCAAATTCGCAAGAGTTGGATTGCAAAAGAAAACATTTTCTAATAACATATCACTTTATGAGACTAATAACGACTGAATTGACTATTATTTCGTGTACAATTGGCTTCATTAAAATACATGAGAGTTGAAAGCTTTTAGCCAAAGATATTTAAGTATATAATCACACTATTTCAAAGCTAATTTTCGAACAAAATATTTTTACAACCACCAACGAGTTTCTAAGTATATATTCACTTGATTCTATAATGCTTAATCTGAGCAGCGCCTTAATAATACCGAATACTCTCGGCAAGATGTTAGTCCATTCCCATGAAATGATACTTTATAAATTTAATGAAGGCAGTAGAGAAGCGCACATGGCGGACAAATTGGTTAAATTTGTTATTCAAATGGATGAAATCATCACAATGTCGTTAGGACTCGAGTTATATGAGAGTCTAATAATGCAGAAGAGATTACTCATGGAGGAATTCATGGGATTTGCCAACGCGTATTTCGTGGACCTAAGAGCAGTAGTTGTTCTGAAATAATCGAATTAACTTAGTTTGACGAAATTGTGTTATCTTCAATGAACACATTGAAACTACGTTCATTATGTTTGCACTTTTTTGCCTTCGACTTTGTGATTATCACCAACATATTTTCTGTGATAAGTTCGGGAGGAATTAAGTAAACTTTTATGAATTTGTTTTTATTGTGAAAGGAAAGGGGATTTGATTGCAATAAAAATATAGATCAAAATGTTGTTAGGTTGATAGTAAATATTATTTTAAACCAATATAGCCATTACATCCTTTTGAAATATACATGATTTTTAAAAGAAATCAATAATAAAATAATTAAAATTTCATATTTGGTCACGTGATTGAAAACGCACTGGATTGGCTAAATCGCGAGTGACGTCACCGTGCAGGAAACAAAGCTAAAAAAGACTAACGTTCATTTATCTGATGTCTTTGTATGTGCGTGTTTGAGTGTTAATTTCCTGATTTTATTAACTATTTTATTTGTTAGAGACAAAACAGATAAATTATTTCGAATAATTATAAATATATATTATATAAGGTACGATGGAGAGCAATTTTGTTAAAGCTGATAGCAGAAATCTCCCGAGAATAGACGCTATTATGGTTGGACAATTTTTCGAAAACAATCCTGATTTTTATGCTCCTGAATTAAAGAATGTAAAAGCAGCACAGTGAGTATTACTCTATATATCATAAATTATACTCTAATCGAATGAATGTTTTAGAAAATGCCTAAAAAAGTTTATTTAATACCACAAACATTTTAGGTTATTTGATAAATGACCATTCAGTACTTACGAGCTTTAAAAAGCTCGAAAATTACGAGCTTTAGTAGAAGCATGAAAATTAATATACCTACATTTTTGAGTTTATTTATTTACCAATTTGCGAACCAAAATCATAATAAATTCAATCAAGTGTAGTACTACTTGACTACATTAAACATGTAAGAAATATACTTTGGTTTCCTTGCTTTTACAGGTCCTATAGAAAAACTTACGGATACGATGCTGTTAGTAATGTTCAACTGTTTCGGGAATCTGGAATTTGCACAATAAAATGTAGGATGTGTCTTGAACACAAAGTGAGAACAAAAAGTTCTATACAATAACAATTTTATCATCGTTAATTGACCTCTGACTAAAATATAACTCACATACAATAAAGTATTGAAGTTTTATTATTTTGAATCTTTTATTATACCATGGTATAAAAATACAAATATGAGAATAAAATCCAGTTTATTCCGTTCAAGATCAACAATAAAAAACGTACGTAATTAATAATCTCAAAATATAGTAGAATGTATAGAGAAGACTATAACGAATATGTAATGAAATCAACTCCTTATTTATGTATGAAATATAGGGTAGGAATTATTTACTTACGTTAAAGTGATCTTCACACATGAAAGCGTGAGATTTTACAGCTGTATCTTTCGGGTTTCTACGAGAGAGAATTAACCACTTTTTCCGAATTCCAGTGTTTGTCGGAAGGTTCACAAACATTTTCTCCGGGGTTTCAATAGATGTGTTAGTACATTGTAGCACTACGCACCATTTATAAGACATTTTATCGCAGTAAAGTTATGAAATCGTCAACAATCACTAAATTTAATAGTCGACAGTCGTATAACAATGTGACGGTTACTGTTTTTATTGCATCGTGACGTCACCACATTAAGTAACCTGTATAGTAGTGTTTTGCCGGGTTTCTTATTCATTCAAACTTTCTCTGTCATTTTCATAAAAATTTGAAAAATTTAAAGAAAATTTATCAAATGGGAAATATGCATCAGCTATAAGGAATAATTTGAGATATTTTTGTGGAAACAGTCAAACACCCTATTTTAAATCATTAATCGATTGGGCCGATACTTGATGAAAATCTAAATACATAATTCAAATAAAACTAAGAAGTTTTTCAATTTTCACTATAATTAATTCGAAAACATGACAATATCGTTTCGCCAACAGATCAGTTAATCCTCAACATCTGATGAAGCCACTGTGTTGGCGAAACGATATTGTCATGTTTTTGAATTAATTATAATGAAAATCGAAAAACTACTTAATTTTATTCAATTTGTGAAAGAATTTCATGGAATTCAGTCTTTTTTTCGTGGAAGTGTTTTTATTTATACGACACGATACATTTAAAAATTGTCTACCAGTAATTTTAATTTTTGTTATTAAATTGACTGACATTGAACTTGTTTGTTTTGAAAATGACTTAAGTTTACCTACTATTTGAGAGGTTTCGTACAGATCTAGTTATAGTTGAGTGCGAAAGAAAAAAGAGTGCAGAATCGGATGTAGTTCGTTACCTCAGAAGAGCACTAAGGGAAAATGCATCATGAGTACATGGAGTGTAACATGACGGACCCTTTCAAGAAACCGGTTCAAAAGAACAGAGGGTTTTGAAAATTTTCATGGTGGCTTAGCATCAGATTTTCAAATATTGAATGAAAAACTCTTGTATAGTTTCACAGGACTATATGAAATGCTTGACAATTGTTTTGGAGGTTACCCGATTTTCGATAGTTGAACTGTTCCAAAAGTTGAAAGCTGAACATTTCAGCTTTTGACAATGGGGTAACACGCCATAAAAATAGTCAACCAATTAATATAATTATGTGAAACTACTCCGAGGGTTTTTTTCAATACATTAAACGATGTTTCACCAACAGATCAGAGAATATTGGAGCAATGCTTTTCAGGTCCATTTTTCTAAGTTAAGGATTCTAAATTAACCCGGAAAAAATACAAGATTTGTTTTGAAAAACACGGAGACGAAAATTTATTTCGACCAATCAAGTACGGCGTATCACTTCGTTCCGTTGGTATTTCAAAATCCACTTAAAGTGAATCTGCTTTAATTTCTTCAGAGAAAAGCAGATAAATAATGTTACTCTTGGTTAATCATGCACAAACACTCGCATTTATATCGCGATTCGCAATTCAATTTACTTGGAGAAAAAATCTCTTTGCCAGTAACATTCAGAACCTGTTTTTATCTACGGTCTAGTAGATAGCAAAATAGGGGTAGATCGAGACGCATTGGGCCCTGATGATATTTGCAATGGTGATCGCTTCGGAACTCCGCATGTAGGTTTTTATTAATATTTTTCATAGCCGGACCCGAAAGTGATATTGAATTTGAATTCAGGTGCTACAGTAAGTCGATTTAGGCGTCCTCCATAAACTATGTAACTCCTACTACGGAGGAAGTGGCACGCTCATATTGCGTACTGTTATATGGAGAAAGTGAAGATGCGAGTTGATGTTACGTAACAAATACGATTTTTTTTTAATTTCAGAAAATAACGCATATGCTGACAACGTGTGCCAATCGGCATTTTTGTGTACGAGTAGCAAAAACGACCCCTTCTAGACCTTCTACTTTAAATATTGCTTTGGAGATGTGGCTGAAAAAAAATCGTAATAACTGGTTTATCGATTCATAGTGATATAACGCCGAAAAAACCTCAATTGTTGTGATTGAGCCAATAAATGATTGGTTGGCTCCCATATGATTCTATGCTCCCGTCTGATTCCAGCAGGGCTCCTTGTGGATTTTTCGAAAGCTTTCGACTTTGTAATCCACAGAATTCTGTTGAAAAAACTTGGAAAGTGTGGCATAAGAGGAGTCCCTCTCAAACTCTTTGAGAATTACCTCACAAACAGAAAGCAAATAACTTTTTTGTATCACGGAGGAGGGCGAGTTCTATCATCTGAAAGAACCATTTTAAAAGGGGTACCACAGGGAACTATATTGGGACCTATCTTGTTTGTCATATATATTGATGACCTACCCGAAATTTTCAATGGGGTTTTGTATCCTCAGAGCGAACTCGAACTCTTTCTGCCTACTTCCAGTTATCTGGAATGTCACAACCACAAAATATAACAACTGAACACATTTCATCTACAGAAGAATTGATAGAAACATATTTATATGCTGATGACGCTAATGTTTTGATATCAGGACGGAATATTGAAGAAGTAACATACAAATTGAAAACATCAATAACAAAGATTGG